AAATTATGTTATTAACAACAAAGCAAGTCATAGGTTTCACGCTTAACATTGTCTATGTCACTTAGAACACGGGCTGGCCTAATATGGTATCGTTGAGTTCCTATACTTGGTTGTACGAGCATATATTATTTTGTACTGATTTCTGGTTCTACCTGATGAGATGCAAGGAGAGAGTTGGGAATAGAGGGGATGTTGGGGGTCGGAGAGTATGGTTTTAGTCCATTTCTCGCATGTATTCAGATGCTTATCCACTAATGTAGTGGCGAACTGACTGAGTTTTACACCACTAGTCCTACTAATTACCTTCAACATCCTTCTCAGGATGGTATAGTCCTTTTTCAGTAACCCAGGAAAGACTAACGGGGAGCAGTAAAGTAGAATAGGTAGGATACGAGAGTTGACAAATTGTGAAAGCAGAGGAGGTTGAGTGATTCCAGTTAGTTTGAGTTTCTTAATGTAGAAGGTTAGACGAAACACTTTCTTGGAAATCAATACTAAAACTTATCATTGTGTGTAAACTATTGAAGTATAATTATACTTTATTTCATTCTTCTAGTGTTCAGCTTGCTTCAGAAAGAATACAAAAAAGAACATTAATACAATCATCATTCACTTCGACTAATAATAGTAATAATAATAGTCTCCTTTGACCTTATCAGATTAATTTCTGTTGTTAGTTAGTTAGTTAGTTAGAATAGTCAGGAGTATTTCAATGTTGAAACTTCTCAAGTTGTCTTAGATTAGACTAGAAAGAAAATATGATATTCATTCAATCTGTATGCATAAGTAGTAAATGTTTTAAGGACAAAATGAAGTTTCAAATACTCTCAGATAGTGAGACAGAGAGACGGAGACAGGGAGTGATAGACAATTGGAAACGAAAATATGGTAAAGAGATAAAACGGTGAATTGATTGAAAGCATAAACTTAACAAGAGGTCAGTTATTGTCATTCAAGGATGGTAGAAACTGTTATCATGGAGGTAGGAGTAAGAGGAGGAGGAGTAAAAGTAGGAGGGGATGGGGAGGATTAAGAGTAGAAGAAGTGGAAATATTATCTCAATAAATTTCAGTAGAGGATAAAACAAGTGTCAAGTGGTACGTATATTCTTCCCAACGACTTTATACATATATATATATAATATAGACTTTGACCTGAATAAAAGACCATAAAAGATATGAAGAATAAGCACGTCAGACTATTGTCATTATTATTATTATTATTACAGTTGTTTCCTTTAGTTCCTAGAGGAGCATGAGGCTCCAGTCGCACCTCTGCATTGCTTTCGATTTACTGACAACGTTTCCATCACCTGGCTCCACATCTGCTCACATGCTTTCATCTCCTCTTCGTAACACGACCTCCTCCATGTCACCTAACCCTCACACTGACCACCAAATAACTCTTGGCTTCACATTCAGGTTCCACTCGACCGATGTCTGTCTGTCTGTCTGTTTTCGACATGGAACTTTGCAAAAATGTGCGGAAGTTCAAGTCGCCACACTCCGTGTAGCACGCGAAGCAAGAGAAGAAAGTACAAGAAAAGCATAATAGAAACAGTGAGCAGAGGTGTGAGACAAAGGAGTAATAACGAAGAACAAAACAGTTTCATTGGAGATCATAAGTCGACCGATGGCCTGGTGTGTGAGATAGATGTCATTTGATGGTTTGTTTTCTGAGAGTTTAGCTAATCCACCTCCATTTCTTCCTGCCTATTTGTTGCTCAGTTGGTTCCTGCTGTGTTGGTTCGCTCATTGCCAGAGATCCCTCAGTGTTGCTGATCTTTTCTGGCCGACCATATGATCTTGAGTAGTATTGAGCAAAGACAGATGTTGGTGAGAGTCTGTGGTTTGCTTGAGGTGCTATTCTTCATGACGCGCTGGTCAAGTCTCTTATCCATAAAGTAGCAATCACTTCACATTGGAGTTGAAAATCTGGATCTGGCACAGTGATTAGGACTCTTGCCGACCATGCATATGGTCCGGGGTTCGAGCCCACGCCGGCGCACACCTGATATCTATGGTCGGCCTGCGAAATTTGGGCTACCGATATCCACGCTGAAAATTCCATGCTTGTACCAAAAATACGGAGTGGAATCAAGTTGTAATCAAAAAAAAGTTTCATGCTGAGTAGGGCTGTTGATCATTACACAGACTTGAGAGTGTTGAAAGCTTCCTTTGCTTTTTCGAACTATGCTTTGATATGCTCGTCAGTAGTTGAAACGATGCTTCGCGGATACGTAGGTAGGTAGGTAGGTTGGGTAAAGGAGGTTGCTTCTTTCACATTCTCCCATTTTTTTCTGATTGTTGCCTGTTGTTGGTGGTGTAGCTGTTGCTGCTGGCCAGGAATATCCATCACCAAATCTATTTTCTCTAACGCAGTCAGGAAAATTGTCGGAGATAGTAGGCAGTCAGCCAGCTTGTCTTACTCCTGTCTTCATTTTGAAGGCTTCGTGAGTTTCCTGTTGTGGATTACTTGTCATACAGCATTGTCGTACAACTAACTGTTGGATGAGATGTATAATTGTCGGCGGTACCCCGTAGTAGTGAAGTATTTGCCAAATCACCTCTTGATCGACGCTGCACTATCGAAGGCCTTTTCAAAGTCGATGAAGTTGAGTGAGGTAGAGAGCTGATTGACATTCCACGCTCTATTCAATAATGATCCTTAATGTGGCGATTTGATCAATACATGACTTGTTCCTCCTGAATCCATCCTGTTCTTGTTGAAGTTTATCATCCAGGGCGTGTTAAATTCTCTCCAGGATGATGCGGCTTAGTATTTTGCTTGGGATGGACAGAAGCATAATATCGCGCCAGTTCTTTGGCAGTTTGAATAAGTAGCCTTTCTTCCAGTCAGCAGTTGCCTTTCCCTCTATTCACACCTTCTCAAGTATTGGTGTCATTAAGCCCGCTGTTGTCTCTATGTTCATTTTCAATGGCTTTGCTGGGATTCCGTCTGGTCCTGCTGCTTTTCCAGTTTTTAGGAAAAAAACAGCTTATCCCATGTATAAATAATTTGGAGGTGAAGAAAGTGGTAGTCTACTTCTATGGAAACGATTCTAATGACTTACTTTACCCACTTGTAATTATTATTGTCCCCTCGGATTCAGAGTGGAACATAGGGCTGAAAACAGCACACCTCTAATTCGTACTGTTCTCTGAGGTCCCTTTTTAGCTGGTCCCACGATTTTACATAGTCTCTCATCTCTTTTTTTGTCACTCTCGGACTTATGTTCAACTTAACTCTTCCCAAGTGATGACCTATCGTGAGATGTCATCGGACTTTCCCCTCAGTGTGTCCCTGATGCATCTCCATTTTCTTCAGGATGTTTGTTGAGTGGTAGGTTCTTGGTTATCTTGTCTCCGTAGTTTCTTATTATTAATCCTTTCTGGCTGGCCGGCCGGCCGGCTGTCCATTTGATCTTTGGTATGAGGTCGGCAAAGACAGCTGTTCATAAAAGTCTTTAGAAATCTGTTGGAAATGCTTTTCGTGAAAAGCAATGCAAGTTTCTAACCCCTATTCAAGAAGTAACTGATTGACTGACTGACTGACTGAACATTTGTGTCGAAAATCCAAATCTGGTTCTTTATGCTGTGAAGTGTTGAGCAGAAAATTTCCGGAGGGATTTCGGAATGATAAAGGTGTGCCTTGGTTTTCGGGATTCTGGCTGGCTGGTTTTCACATCTTCGTCCGTGCCGACTGGCCGTAGCTGAAACGATGCCTCCTAGATAATTTTAGGTAGGAAGTCACCTCTGTCAAACCTCTCTCGTAGATAGTGATTAGTGCTGGTTGTTGTTGTTGTTGTTGCTTTTGGCTGGTTATCTCTAACACCTGCGTCTTCTCCATGTTTACCTGGAGTCATGTCTACGCCTCCTGCCTTTTTCTCCAGTTTCTTGGTTCTCGCTTGTAGGTATTAAAAGTTTGTGTGACATGAAAGATAAATCATCCACATACGAAATCCAAATCTAGTCATCCAGCGTATTGCCGTCTCCTTGCTCCCGACGCACAGCCTGATGCATAATCCACTCCACCACATCGTGAGCGATAATAGACAGGTAGCCTTGGCTTACTCCTGTATGCACTTCAAAGCCTTTGCTGAGTTTTCCCTACGGATCACTTGACACGTGACACTGTCATATAGCCAGCTGTTGAATTGGGCACTGTACGCCATAGTGCTGAAGTAGTAGTAGACGTTGGAGCTGATGGCGTCTACCATATCAGTGTGAAGTGAGTTCCTATGGATGTTTCAGGATTTCATCATGAGCTGACATTAGTTAGAGAACCATTGGAAAACCACCTAGGAGTACTGGACAGCTGTTTCGTCCTAGTTTAGGACTCTTCATCAGTACGCACCCACCACTAGGATTCGAACCCAGGACATTCTGGTTACAAGGCGAGCCCGTAGACCATAAAGTCACTGGGAACCGATCCAATATCCAGTCCATGAATTCTAACTTCTGCCAATTCACGACATAGCGCAACCCCTAGCCAATGTCTTCGGCGAGTATTTGTCCTCAGTCTCGACCTGCTGCACCCTACTGGTCACGACTTCCCACTGGAACCCGGTGGATGCGTACTGATGAAGAGTCCCAAACTAGGACGAAACGGCTATCCAGTACTCCCAGGTGGTTTTCCAATGGCTCTCTAACTAATGTCAGCTCATGATGAAATCCTGAAACCAACCAAATCCCTACAAACCAACACTTAAATCTTATGGATGTCATGGCCGGTTATCCGTAGCACTGTATTAAGAAACTGATAGAATTTAGAATTCATCAGTGAATTGTTTCCAATCTAGTTATTGAAAAGTTACACCTGAAGGTCCCAAATTCGATCTCTAACGAAATACATGATGGGTTGTTATTACTGAAGAGTCGCAAACTGGGACGAAACACAAATGTTCTGTAGTTTAACACTTACCTCAATATTGCTCCGATTCTTTTCCTGTTTTTCTTTCTCATCTTCTCTCTCTCTTTATTTCTTCCATTCATCAATAGATTCCTATGAGTCCAGAGAAAAGTCAACATTGTAAAGTACAAAGCACATTTTCATCAAATATAAACCATATAAGGAATGGAAGTCATTCATTGCCAGCTTTAACAACATTTCCTATTTCTGGAGTTAATCCCCCACTGAAAAGCACCACTGTTTCTACTACAAGTACTATTGTGTCTAATAACAATAATAGTGTTTCATCAATTCAATCTGGTATCCACAAAGAGACAAGTAACATGCTAACAACGACTACAACAAGAATGACAACACCAACAGTCTCAACAATAACAACAACAACAACTGTTTGTTCTTCTCCTCCCTTTTCTACATCTATTCCTACTCCTACGAATCCAACTGCTGCAACCACTACTAGTGGTATTAATAGTAGTAGTAGTAGTAATAGTACAGTTATTAGACAAGATTTAATCTCCTTCAATGATTGGCCAAATGTAACAATGCTTTTATCGAATCAGGTAAGTTTTTGAATATCTATATATAGGAGTTGTTCAAGGATTCATATCAGTTAGAGAACTATTGGCAGTTGATACCCACCACCAGGGTTCGAACCTAAAACCTTCTGGTTACAAGGTAAGCTAGCTCGTGTACCATTCAGGCACTGGGACCTGATTCAATGGCCAACCATCCAGCCAGCCCTCCATGAATTCTAACTTCTACCAATTCGTGATGCATTTAGCGTGACTGGCACCAACCAATCGGTGGTCATCGGTGGGAACTGGATTCTCACTTTCGACTGGATGTGAACCCCATTAAGACGAAACAGCTGTCCAGTACTCCAGTGCTAGCTTTTAATGGTTCTCTAACTGACATCAATCTGTGATCAACTCGTAAAAGCAAATCTAATCCTTCCAAACCAATTATTGGAAATTAAATTGGATGCTCGCTAGTGACTTGATACAGGATGAAGTTTTCTGGAGTGAGTTCTAGTGAGAAGCCTTGATCAGTGAGGTTCATCCAGACGTCAAGTGTGTGAGGATGGATGTCCCACAAATAACATGGGTTGGCACCAGTTGCCAGTCTAAATTCATCATGAATAAGTAGAAGTTAGAATTCATGGGTTGTCTATTGAATCGGGATCCCAGTGGCTGAATGCTCTACGAGCCAGCTTGCCTTATAACCGGAAAGTCCTGGTTTCAAACCCTGGGAATGGGTTCGCACTGCCGATGAATCCCAAACTAGGATGAAATAGCTGGTTGTCCAGCACTCCCCCCCCAGCTGGTTTTCAATGGTTCTCTAACTGATGTCAATCCATGATCAGCTCCTAGAAACAAATCAAATCATCGAAAAGCAAGTATCGAATATATATATATATATATATATATATATATATATATGCAGAACAGGTGTTAGTTTGCTCGAATTTGATTGGTTATAGATCTGGCATCAGAATTAGAGAACCATTGGAGAACTAATAAGCAACACTGTACATCTAGCCGTTTCACCCTATTCGAAACTCTTCAGTAGCAAGCAATTTTACGCTAGGGTTCTAGCCCAGAACCTGTCAGTTACAACGTCAGTGTGAGGGTGACTTGAAGGAGGTCATGTGAAGAGGAGATGAAAGCATGTGATCAGACTTGGAGCGGGGTGAAAAAGTTGGCAGAAAACAGGAGGCAATAGAGACGCGCGGCTGAAGCCCTATGTTCCTCTAGGAATTAGAGGATATAATAATGATAATAATAATGTCAGCTCGTGGCCAACCTTGTAACCAATCAAATCTCTGCCGACCAACACTGGTTAATCAATCTCGATGCTCACTATAGATATTGGCCCTATACAAGAACTTCCCTGGAGTTCTACTTCGAAGACATATCCAAGCGGGTCTTCCAAGTCAGACAACTTACTCGCAGTTACTTGCCAATGACACAAATTGGCAGAAGTTTAAATCCATGACGTGGTCATTGGATCAGGCCCCGTGGTTGGATGGTCTAGGAATTAGTCTCATCACCAGAAGACTCTACATCCGAACTTCAGCGATGCACACGTACTGTTGAAGACTCCCAGAATCTGACGAAATGGTTAGCTGGACAGTACTCCCTCGGAGGGGTGGGGGGTGGGGCGCGGGCGACGTTTCCAATGGTTCCCTAACTGATATATACATATAAATATATATACCTCTAACAAAGTCATTAAATATTAATTCCTTGTAGTAGGGTTCTAGTAGGATTAGAATAAACATAAAAGGATATTAATCAATGCAGATGAAGAGAACACAAAGGGAGAGAGAGAGCGAGGTAGCGAGGGACATTTACTGTATAGTCGTAATTATATGTGATTTATGATTAGTATTTATCTTGTAAGATGATAATATTTCCATATGTTTGATTTTTCCTTCCCTTATCTTCCCATCCATCTGTGTTTCTGTGTGTGTGCATGTGTGTGTGAAGGTATGTGGAACTCGTGGTTAGGTTTCACTCTTATTATTCCTTAGATAGCGAGAGTAGGACAGCAGGATAGCACAAGCATAAACTATAATAATAATAAAAATAGTGAGGAATTAAAATTTACGCAGAAACAAGGGATATTCTTTAATGTAGTTTAATCAATTAAGGGATTTTCTCGTCTTTCATCTTTCTGTATAAAGCGAAAATGAGAGTTTGTTTATGAAGGGATTTAATTTATTTCAAGTTTCGACGACTGACAAACCATCAGAGGGAAGTGTTGAACAGCTGGCTGTTTCGTTAGCCTAGTTTTTTTTGATTACAGCTTGATCCCATACTGTATTTTTGGTACAAGTATGGAATTTTCAGCATGGATATCGGTAGCCCAAATTTCGCAGGCCGACCATAGATATCAGGTGTGCGTCGGCGTGGGCTCGAACCCTGGACCATGTGCATGGTCGGCGAGAGTCCTAACCACTGTGCCACCGACGCACATCGATAGTTGTTATGATCTCACTGCCAGAGTTCGAACCTAGAAGCCTTCGGTTACAAGTCAGTAGCCTACAGTCACTGAGACCTGACTCCATTGAACAGCCTATGAATTCTAACTTCCAATATTTCATGAATCTAGTGCAACTGACACCCGCCAGTGTCATCGGTGGAAAGCATTTGTCCTCAGTCATGAATCTAAAAGAGTTAGAATTCATAGGTTGGCCATATGAGTCGGTTCTCAGTACCGGGCTGGAACCATTTTGAACGAGTTCCAAACTAGTGTGGATAAAATGTATTCTGACAAAGTTTCACAACCTGTTATACAGTAATATTTACTGATGACGCCGTTTAGCCAGCACAATTTATTACTGCTCATCGTCATCACATCAAGGTAGTATTCACAAAACTTCTCATCTCTTGATTTGATGCCTGGTAGTAGTATTGTCCATATTTCCAGTATGAGTGATAAGTCATTCCTATTGTACATGTGTTGGGTGAAGATTCGATGAAAAACCAGGATTCAGTAATCAACCTCTTTCGCTCTCCACCCACCTGTATTACTTTCAAGAATTGTACCTCTGTTCCAGTCACCCTATTGTATGGTTTTGTGTTAATGCATCCAGTGCAATTGCTGATCTGTCTTCTAAATTACTTATCTTCGTGGAATCAATTATTCTACCCTTAGCTAAATTCTTATGTTCTGACAATCTGTCTGCTCTGAGTCTACTCGTTTCACCTATGTAGTTGACATAACTCACTGTCTATTTGGGTCAACCGACAGGGTCCTTTAACCTACAGAGCTTGTCCTACCTGAGTGAGTTTGTAGGTTTAAATGTCAGTCTAATTCCTGCTTTATTAATAATCCCACTTCATAGGGTCTCAGATGTCCCCTTTTTCCTTATATGATAAAACTACTATAGATGCCTTATATTCTTTCTTATTTATGTTATCACTATTAGTTTCACCACTATTTTTATTTTGACCTTTTCTTATCTTCCTAATGAATTTTATAGGATAGTTATAAATATTACTGTATAATACTGAGAGAATTGATATTAGATGGTTAGAGACAATCGTTGGGAAGCCTTGTACCTAGTTTTCGTGCCAGTTGACACTCGTCAGCAAGTCGTATCTGCAACCACTTTGTGGGAACTCATGTCCCTTCTGATGGTGAGTTATATTGCGAACCTGACTGAGAGAATTCACTCTGCGCCAGACGAAGGACTGGACACACGACACTAGTAAGTGACTAGTGTGACATGAAAAGGTTGACCGCTTTCGATCATAGATGTCTGCGATCTCTTTCTCACGTTAGATGGTATAATAAGGTAAGTAATGTTGACGTTAGGCGTAGAGTGTTGGGCAAACAGGGAAAATTAATCGACAAGGCTATAAAGTTACATAGATTGAGATGGCTAGGTCACGTGCTGCGCATGCCTAACCATCGCCTCCCCCGACGGGCATTACTAGCTGATATAGAAAGGTGCAGGTTGGAAAAGAGCAAGTGGTGGCCAAACAAAAACACATGACCTCATCAATCCATGAAATAAATCCCTGACAGTTAAACTGAGTCAGGTAGGGTAGGAGATGCAGACTTCCGGGTTGGGGCCCTCGGGACTGACTCTAAGAATCAATGGCTGGAGACAATAGGTGGTGACATGGCTCAAAGTCGTTGTCAATCGCCAGCTCAGATGTATTCAGTCTCTGTAATCTTCCATATTCGTTTCTACCATTACCCATTCTGTTTCACTATTATACTTGTCAGACTGTATTGATTCTCTTGACTCATCTTCTTGTCTACCTTTGTGTGGTATTTGGAATGTGGCAACTCGAACTGGTGCACTTCGGTGCCAGGTTCCACGTTGAATCCAGACAGACAGAGACTAGTCTCCAGTCAAACTACTGTGAGACTTTATCAAAATAAATTTTATCCACTATGGAATTGTACTTGACCACAGTGAACAGGTTTTGTTCTTATATTAACGAGTCCTAAATTAGACTGGCGAAATAGCTAGTTGTCCAGTACTCCGCCTGCTCGTGTTCTATGATTCTCTAACTGATCTCGATCCGTAGTCAAACTTGAGACAAATTTAACCCATGCAATCTAACTAACTCTGTTAAATTTAATCTATTGTGATTCTTTTGAAAAGTTAAACTGCATCAAACTTCTCGCCTTGTTACATAATATTTTCTTTACTTTAACACTGCTCTTGCAATATAAATAATAGTATACATTCTGTCAACTATTTTCTTTATAATACACGGCCTGTTTTTCCGTATATGCATCAATGGTTCAGTGTTAGAATAATCAGAAGCCATAGAATTGGTTTTTATTCTCTTCCTTATTGGCATGCTCCTCAAATTCACTCAGTTTACTCGCAAACAGTAAGACTAGGAAAGAAGAGAGATTGTGACTGAAGCTTTTGTTTATTCAATTACGTTCCCAGTGGAAAATAGGGCGACTTCAAGCTAGAGACTTGAAGTTTCTGTAGCACTTGTGTTGACTTTTACGGGATAGGGTTACCAGCCTCCTCATGCCTAACCTTTCCTCTTTACTAGTCTTGTTGTTGGCTTAGGGAGGAAGGTAAAGCAGTGCGTCGGAGGAGAATCGAACCCCAAACCACCACGTGGGGCGTGGTTGGCGAGCATTCTACCGCTGTGCTACCGACGTACTGAAGCTGTCAACCTTCATTCTGTAAGTAGACAACAACACTACCACATCTGAAGTTCCAAAAGCTTGAAGTCTTATGTATTATACCTGGAGAATAAACAAATGTTTCAAAAGAATATTATTACTAGGTGTTTAACTCTGACTACAATTGTTTCGTTATAGTTTGGGTAGTAGTTTGAGTAGTACTCATTCACATGGAGGTCGAATCCAACGCTTTTTACTAGACCAGTCAGCGACTAGGACCCAATCAACTGGCTAGCTCATGAATTTCAAATTTTACTAGTTGGTGAGTTCGAACCCTGGTGGGTTGGTACTGTGAAGAGTCGCAAACCAGGACGAAACATCTGGCTTTCCAGTACTCGCTGTTTTTCCAGTGGTCCTTTGACTTATGTCAAGTTCAGATCAAACTTGTAATTAATGAGATTCTTACAAAAAAAGTCTTTAAAATTGCTTGGCGATTTAGTATGAATTTGTCATCAGTGGGGTTCATCAGATCTTCAGGAGTATTCTGCTATCCAGTGTTCGGACTCATGACCTTCCAGTCACGAATTGATGGATATTGAAATTCATGAGCAAGTGTACAGGGTCCCAGTGGCTGAATGGTCAATGTGCTAACTTTGTGTATCGTATGATCTTTGGTTCGAGTCCCGATGGATTCATATGTAGTATAGAAGTAAGTATTCACAAGACTTTTTCCTCGTTTTCATTTTGACGTATTATTCATCTTTATCTAACCAGATTTCTATTCTCCTTCTACAGACTACTACAACGTTACAATCTCCTTTAAACCGACAGACGACAACACTAACGACAACAGCGCCGACAACAACATCGCTATCTACAACACCAGTGATACCTAATTCTAATAATTTTACAAATTCTCTATTGATTGATTCTACACGTATCCCACAAATGGCACTGCTTGACAGAGATTTACATGCTGGAATTACAAGAACAATGAGCACGGCAACTACTCCAATGGCTGTTGGTAATACAAAGTGAGTTATTTGTATTGAATTTAGACTTTTGTAACACACTGACTTAAATGATTGATTTATTAATTGTAGTCTGGTCGGCAGAGATTTTCACAGCCCAAATGATGACGTAATCATCTTTGAGAATGATTTTGAGTTATATTAGCGACAATCTCCAACTATTGATTCTTGGTAGGATATGTATCCACATGATGTGTGTTTTGTTTTTAACAGTCTATTATATTTTGCTGTGTATATGGATCGATATTCCATTATAACTGACATTATGCTTTTGTCTGTCCACTAACTAAATAATCAATGTATGACCTTGTTATCACATGACATTACAACCAATCATGGTAAGATGACTGTCTATTGGTTCACGTGTATTAGTCATCTCCATATATACTTTTGTACTGTATTCTTGTTCACACACCTTTTTCGTACGCTACATACCGTCTCACTCACACACTTGCGTGACATTTATTTATTTAAACGCCTCCAAATGCCAAACAGTTAATTTCACCTTTAGGTATAAATCTGACCTAAACAAACTGGTTAGCACTCACAAGATGTGCAACATAGATGGCACTGAAATGGAAACCAAGTCGGAAATTAAATACCTAGGCGTCACTCTATCTTCTGATCTTTCCTGGTCGTCTCATATCTGGACGATTTCCAAGAAAATATACCGTCTTTTCTTCTACATCAAGAAGTTAAGACATTCTGGTATAACCCAACCCAACCCAACTCTTACTCCTACAATTTGTTAACTCCCGTATTCTGCCTATTAATCTCTATTGTTCCCCCTCAGTTTTTCCTGGGCTGGCCACTGAAGAAAGACTATACCTTATTACGCAGGATGTTAAAGGTTGTCAGCAGGGCAAGCTACGTGTCACTTAATCAGCTTGTTAACATTCTGGTTGATAGGCACATGGACTCGTGAAAAATGGGCGAAATCCGTTCTATCTATTTAACTCACACCAACACCCTCTTGATTCACAACTCTCCCCTTGTATCTATCTCATCAGGCAAAACCAGAAGCCTATATAGGAAACTATATGCTCGCACTAGTAAGTACAAAAACTCAATCATACCCTAATTAGCTCGTGTCCTGTGCGATAGGGAAAGAAAGCATTAGGCGTGATACCTATAACTTATTAAATAGTCAGTAGAACAACTGGATCTCGTCTTTCCAACTCACATCATTTATAGGTACAACGTTTTCTCTCTCTTCATTCTGTATTTATTTTGTCATGTGCTGCTTTGTTTCTCTCTTCCTTACAAACTCTACTTAAAACATTCTTGTTCGTTCTTTCACACTCTGTATATCTCGACCATTTTGCTATCGCTTACGCCAGTAAATATGCTAGTAGTATCTACTTTTCTAACACCTTCAAACACTCTGTTTAAATTTTGGCTTTGCTACCGACATGCTAATATGTTGTTGTCAAAACTGACTGAGATAACCTTAATCTATTTAGAACTATATTTATTGTTAATGTACCAACTGGATGCAATACTGTAGTAAAAATGCTGAGAATTCCATTCTGTATCACAAGTACTGATTTGGAATAAAGCTTATCTTATCTTATCTTGCTTGTCTGGAAAATACAAGTATCACTGTAAACCTGGTGGTCTTCTGATTTCCCTGTTTCCACTTCAGGACTATTCACTACTCAACGAGTACATAACATGGTATTTCAATGACCTGGATGGATTTTTGTTTTCCATGATTTGTTGTCATTAAAGTTAATTTCAGTTTTTACTCTCTTATGGATAAGATTCTATTTTGATAAGTCACACAGTGAAGTGTTTGTTATACAGTAATATTAAATCATGACAACACTTCGAGCACAAACTATTGTCACTCATAATCATATCATCAAGTCACTCATTCACATAACCTTTTTACTTCATTTATATACATGAGTGACACTGATGATTAGACCTTTGAATAAAATCATGCGTCGGTGGCACAGTGGTTAGGACTCTCGCCGACCATGCACGTGGTCCGGGGTTCGAGCCCACGCCGGCGCACACCTGATATCTATGGTCGGCCTGCGAATTTTGGGCTACGGATATCCACGCTGAAAATTCCACACTTGTACCAAAAATGCAGTGTGGAATCAAGCTGTAATCAAAAATAAAAAAATTTTAAAAAAATGAAAAAAAATAAGTACAATTTAGAAATCATAATATGAGTGTTATTGATCAATTACGATCAGGTGGGAAATAAGAGGAATGATTTTATAGTCAAAATAATAAGTAACTTGTTAGAATGTTATGATTTGAGTGAATTGAAATAGAATTTTATAATTATTTATTATCCTCCTCTGATTTGACTGAGTGACTGGTGGTCATAATATCTTCTGTACACATCTCTGGTATTTGCCTTTAGTCATTTCTGTTGCCTGTGTTCGGTTAGGTGTAGACTCGATGCATCAGTCAGGATTCAGTAATCATTTTCTCCCTCTACCTACATCTGAGAATCTTAACCCTCTCCCACCAATCTATGGTGTGGTTGTGTGTTAAAGTATGCAGTGCAATCGCTGAGCTTTCTTCTAAATTACTTATCTCCTCGCGAGGTCAACCATTCTTACCTCAGCTAAATTCTTATGTTCCGACAATCTAACTATCCCCGATCTACTAGTTTGACCTATGAATAAAATCACTATAAGATTAAGTACATCCGGAAATAATATGAGTGTTATTGATCAATTACAATTAGGTGGGAAATAAGACGAATGATTTTATAGTCAAAATAATAAGTAACTTGTTAGAATGTTATGATTTGGGTGAATTGAAATAGAATTTTAAGATATTTTTATTTTGCTTTTAACCTTTTTTGATATCAATAACTAATAATGATAATATAAATAAGAGAGAATATAAGGCATCTACTGTTATATCGTATAAGAAGGGGGCATCTGAGGCCCTACGTACGTAGGATTCTCAATAAAGCAGGAATTAAGGTGGTGGCCTTAGGGTGAACCTACAAACTCACTCAGGTAGGACAATCTCTGATAGGTTAAAGGACCCTGCCAGTTGACCCAATTAAACAAAATAATATAATTTACAAACTACGCTGCAATGACTGTGAGTTAGGTTAAACTAGTAGGTAGGGAATAGCGAGATTATCAGAACATAATAATTTAGCTAAGGGAAGAATGGTTGACCCCATCCGAGAAGATAAGTAATTTAGTAAAAAAAAAGCTCAGCACTACATTGCACTGCATGCCTTAACACAATCACACAATAGCATGGTGGTAGAGGGTTAAAATTCTAAGAAGTAATCTAGGTAGGTGGAGAGCGAAAGCGATTGATTACTGAATCTCTGTTCATTGAATCTACACCTAACACACGCAACAGAAATGACTCAATACAAATACCAGAAATATGCATGGAAGATATTATTACCACCAGTCAGTCAGTCAAATCAGAGGAGGATAATAAATAATCTTAAAATTCTATTTCAATTCCAGCACATCACAACATTCTACCAAGTTGCTTATTATTTTGACTATAAAAACACTCGTCTTATTTCCCATTTGATTGTATTTGATTGATAACACTCATATTATTATTTCTGAATGTACATTACCTTATATTGATTTTTAGTCAATTGTCTAGTGAATTCCACACTTGTATATAAATGAAGGAAAAAAGTTGTGTGAGTAAGTTGATATGATTATGAGTGCCAATAATTTGTGCTCGAAAAGTGGTCGCATCAATAAATATTACTGTATAACACTCCACTTCATCAAAATAAAATCTTATCTATTACATGGAGTTATACTCTACCCCCCACAGTGCCCAGGTTTTATACTTATATCATTTTTCAGTGCTTGTTCAAGTGTATTCTAATTCATCATGTGTGACAAATGTCCTAGCTAGATTTTGTTCATTTCAGATATGAGAGTAATTCCTTCTAGTCTTCGATGCTGACACAGACCCAATTCTGTCATTTAAGTTTGCAACATGACTTGATGTTACGTGGTTGGAAGCCAGTCGTAGGATGCCATGGATTTAGGTTAGCACTCGTCCAAAAGGCGTATTTTGGTGACCTAGAAGGAAGCTAGAAAGAGATATGAACCCGTGTCACCCATCCAATGCTGCAGTCAGAGACGTTACCACTGAGCAATTCAAGGTTACGACTGCTTCCTAAAATTAATCCAGTGTGCACCGTAATTGTGGACTACCTTGGTTGGTGGCCGAACTGCAAAACAGTCTACGCTTAGTGATCATTGAGTGCATCCATTACAGTCCAATAGGAGTTCAATCACTGCTCCATCTCATTTTGGCATTCCTCTTCAGTATTCACTCACCGGGGTTCAAATCCATGATCTATGGGTTACAAGGTGAGCTCGTTGGCCACTCAGCCACTGGGAGCCAATCTGATGACCCATGGATTTCAACTTCTACCATCGAATCGGATCCCCATGTCTAAGCTACCTAAAGGCCTTGGGTTGGAACTTTAGTGGATGATTCCTCTTGGAAAGTCTCAAGCTAGGGTGAACAAAGGATATCAAGTACTCCTTGGATTCCTTTGGATATTTTCCACGTCGATTTCTAAAGGCTACTGGAATTCGTAGTTCAAAAACTGATGCGCAAGTTAATTATAAGCATTAAAATGTAACATCCAAACAAATATTAGATAAAATTGAGAAAATTTGTGCGATACATTTAGGATAATTGAAACCTTGATCGCGGAGGTAAGGATATCATCTAAACGAACTTCTTTTGAACACATAGGTTAGGCTTCTTAATATGGATTTCCACGGCTTCAGTTGTCTCTGTAAGAGGCGAACTCATTAGGTAAAATTAAGATAACTCGGAATACGGTAGATAACTTTACAGGCCTCATCAACATCAATCTCGTGCTCAATATCGACAAGATGAGCTGAATTAGACGCATGAATATATCTCTTCTCTGTCCTTTGCTTAACAACACAGGATGACGTTTGGAAATCCGATGATATACACGCCTAAATGTAGACCATAGGAGCAGTCAGACGGATAGA